CCCCAAAACCCCAAAACCCCAAAACCCCGTTTGATTGATTTGGCCTATATAAATATGATCAAAGTCAAGATTATAATATTAAAAAAATCATTCACTCTATTTATCAGTATCCATTGGTTTTTATTACACTTCATTTCTACGTTGATTATACCTAGATTTTAATGCTAATAATTTAGCCTCTTTTTCTTATTTATCCTTAAGCTTCTTTTCCTCTTCAAGTCGTTTCTCAGTTAACTTCTTCTCTTTTAACTCTCTCGATCGAGATCTCCTTCTTTATCTCTCTAATTCTTAAGCTTTCTCCTTATCAGCCTTAGTTTTCTCTGCCTTCTTAATCTAGAATGGATCATCATCATAGAGCTCATTTGATCTTCTTTCCTTTTCAAGTCTCTCTTATTCTAACTGCTTCTCTTTTAGAATCTTTAAGTGTTCACCAACCTTGTCTTGAGCTATTTATTTCTATGATTTCTATTCTTATTCAATCTGTTTATTTTGGTTATTTACTGTATCCATTGTTCTGTTAAGAACCTTATAGAATCCCATCATTCCAGTCTCTGAATTTGCTGTCTTTTTCTGATTGAGTTGTTCTTCTAGTTCCTCATACAACTTGTTCTACTAATTTAGTTCCATTTATCTACGGTAAGATTCCGTAATAAATGATTCAGCATTTGGACCAACCTTACCACTGTTGACTTCATTTATTCTTTCCTTTTGCTCCATCTTTTCCCAAGCAGCATTTTACTCTCGCTTACGTCTCTCTGCAGCTAGAAGTAGCTCCTTTTAATACTTAGATTCCAAATTTTTTCTTGACTCTTTTTTCATAGCTAGTTATTATTCTCTCCTCTCTTGCTCTTCGTCATACAGAGCATCATACTCATAGGCAAGTGGATTTTGAGCTATAACTTTGCTACTTTCTTCTGCAAGCTTTTGCTGATATCTTTGCTAATTTTATTTTAGAAGTGATTATATCCCATAAAATTAATCCTCGTCTTCATCTTCGTCAGTCTTCTACTATTTGTTATTTTTCTAAAATATACTCATTGGTTTTTATTAGAACACTGAAATCGGCTAGGCTCCAGCTTATTTAGGTAAACTAGCCAAAGGATTTTGTTTTGCTTGATTAGTATTAGGCATAATAGGCTTTGATAAATTAGGTCTTGATGTGATTCCATGCTTTTTCAGCTATTCATCCTAATTTGACATAAAACTAAACTCCATTCTGCTTTTAATTTATAAAATTGAATTATAAATAAACTTTTAAACTCTATTTATCATTTTTATTAAATCCTTGATAAGATGGGGTTTTGGGGTTTTGGGGTTTTGGGG